AGAGAGAGAGAGAGAGAGAGAGAGAGAGAGAGAGAGAGACTTGCTTTGTTTATTTTTCCTTGGTTTTGTTTCATTTTCAAAACAATTATTTCATTTCAACTAGCTTGGACGCTCCCAACCATCTCTTCAGTGAGTATGAGTGGTTATAATTTTGAACTGGTGCCGGGTCCACAGGGCCTCCTGAAGTTGTCCCTTCTGTTATCTTTTGGAGAGCTGTAGGATATGTCAGGGTTGTGCAGACTGAGGGTTGTACCTGGGCTGTTTAGTTCCCTTTTCATTCATTCACTTCTTGTCTTCAGAGATTCTGAGGTCTAGATTTTATTTTGTGCTGCCAAGGTACCTTCTTTCCAGGCTGACTGGCTCTTCCCTCTTTTGATTTCTGGCACCTCTATACCAGGGTCCATTCTTGCCACTGTGAGAAATTGAGTATATTCATATATATGTATATGGGTATATGCATACAATGAGTTAAAATATGTTGAGTGAAGACTAAGGCAAACTGGAAAAAAGAAAATTTCATTTTGTATATTTTCAATGCTTTGTGCTCTATGATAGTTTTACAATGCCCTTTGATATAGCTGATCTCACAAAAAATCATAGTAGCACTATGAAATTGTTATTATTTAAGATAATAATAATAATTAACAATTTAATACCCCAAGAGTTGAGGCCAAGACTCACAGGTTTCTACTCCAAAGGCTTCTACTCACAGCATCGGTCTGCTCACAGAGGCCATAAAATTTCCCATGTGGACCCATGCCTTTCCCCCAATTTGCTTCCCAATGCCATGTATTTTAATCTCGGCAGTCTGCCAACTTTCCCATGTCTGTTCATTCGAACTGCTGGGTGGCATGGATAGCTAGCTGGCCCTCTGGAGTCCTGGAGTTTCTTTTGGTTAATGCCTCCAGGTGAGGATCATAGGTGATATCTGCTGCAGGCACAGGTTTTGCTGCGTAGCATAGCCTCTTTGTACTTATCAGAGGCAGGTTAATTATCCAGGGAAAGGAGCTTAGGAAAAGTAACATAAAAGAGAAAAAACAAGCGAGGGCATGAAGAATACCCACTGGATCAGATCCAGGGTTTCCTGCAAGCTAGATAAGCACTCAGTCAGATGAGCAACACCTCCAGCACTTCCTTGGGTATTTTATTACAGGCAATGTCTGGATATCATGTGGCCAGTACTGATGTTGTGCAGATAGGGAAGCTTACACCAGAACACCTCAGCCGGCACCATGGGATCTAGTTTGTGTGACTAGTGATCAACACCAAGGAAAAAGGAAACAACGTTATAAATTTTGTACTCACTGTATATGAGGTATATATACACACAAACATAAATTTGGGAATCAAGAGCTTATAGATAAAAAAGTAGATTTGCTATTGAAGGGATTGGGATAGTCTGGGAAGAAAGTGTAGACAAAGAAAACCAAAGAAAAATTTTTGTATAGCATTGTTATTTAAAGGTATTGCTAAGATTCAAGCGGAGGAGGGTGAAGACAGAGCCAGGATAACAGAAACTGGTGAATAGAGAGAGATGAGGAGCATCAAGCAGAAGGAGAAGTTTTAAGAAGCAGGGAGCTGTATCACTACAAATACAGTTCTGAAGATGACTTTGCCTCTTTGACTGACGTAGATTAACTACGATTCTGCTTTAACTCCCCCCCCAGGTTGAATTAAACACTGTTATAAAAACTGCCATCCCAGTTCTCACAAGCCAAATATATGTTTATATGTATGTATATGAATTCATACAGCCACACACCTATATATACATATATATTGAATCAGACACCAGTATCTGTACATTCTACATCTACAGATTCAACTAACCATGGATTGAAATTAATTGAAAAAATATTGTGCTTTGGGGGTACAATTAAATAAAATAAGGATTCCTTGAACACCAGCACTGTAATAGTTTGACAGATCTGCTAACTAAAGAGGCTCCTGGGTGACTTTTGGGGGTGTGTGGCTATCAGTGTGGCTAGACTAAGTAAAAAAATGATTTATATCCCATGTAGGGCAGAGTCAGATGCCACTACATTTTATCCACCTACTCAGAGTGACATGCAATTTGAAGCACGTGAACTGTTTATTTTTGAATTTCTATTTAATAGTTTCAGAGTTCAGATGAATGCAGTTGATTGGAATAAGATAACTGGCAGTGAAAGTATGGCTAAAGGGAGATGTCTGCACTGAAAGAGTGGTCCCAGGAGAAGCACAAGGAAGCAGTACAGGACTGGGCAGTTGAAGGAGGCTGAGCAAGGCCACAGTCTCAGTTGGAGACCAGCATTAGCATCCATGAGAGATTCTGAAGTTATGTCACAGTGCTGGTGGTGGCTGAAAGTCTACATTGCTTAACAACTATTTAGGTGCTTGGCATTGTAAGTGGGATCTAGGTGGGACACAATGAATCCACTGAATGCGTAACTCTTTTCCTAATATAAACTGTGTAGGGCAAGTGTAAACTCTTGATTAGATATCTAGGATAATGGAAATTCAGACTTATAGTTCAGGAAAGAATTACTGTCATGTTCTTATTAGAATAGGTTTTTATCACAATAACATAGGTGCTATTAAACTAATATTGAAATGACTTATATATTGGCTTATAGTAAAGTTAGGATAGATCATTAGATTAGTGATCAAGTTAGGTTTCAATGCCAGTTTATGTTACTATTACCATTGATGCATTTACATGATAATTACCTTAGAATGGACTGATGAAATTGGCCATATTTTTTTTTTTTCGAGACAGGGTTCTCTGTGTAGCTTTGGAGCCTATCCTGGCCCTCGCTCTGGAGCCCAGGCTGGCCTTGAACTCACAGAGATCCGCCTGCCTCTGACTCCCGAGTGCTGGTATTAAAGGCGTGCGCCACCAACGCCCGGTGAAATTGGCCATATTTAAGTATTAAAAGTTTTCATTTAGTATTTCTCCACCCATAGTTTAATTTTCCAGGGTCTGACAATGACTTATATGAACAATATGATCAATATTAAGCATTGGTAGTATGAGTATAAGTTACCACAGAGGATGTAATTTTTTTGTTTGAGAACTAAATGATTAATAATATTAGAATGTTGTCTTAATATTTCACTTAATATATAGGTAGGATTAGCAAGTAGAACTAAGTGATTTTTCATTTTTTACTTGATTTATGGTTACATGAAATTTACTGTTGGTTCAAAGTTTGGATAGGCAATGGAGTTAAGAGTTTTGTTAGAGAATAGGACACTAGGATACTATATGGTATTGAGATTCTAGAGGACCTGACAATGACTTGTCTTTGTATTTCAGCTTCAACCTGCCTGGTACTGGCTACATCTCAGTTCTTTCAGTATGGTGGACACCAACAGCAGTGAGTCCAGTGCCACGTATTTCATCTTAATAGGCCTCCCAGGATTAGAAGAGGCTCAGTTCTGGTTGGCTTTCCCACTGTGCTCCCTCTACCTTATTGCTGTGCTAGGTAACTTGACAATCATCTACATTGTGAGGACAGAGCACAGGCTCCATGAGCCCATGTATATCTTTCTTTGCATGCTTTCTGGCCTAGACATCCTCATTTCCACCTCATCCATGCCAAAAATGATGGCCATTTTCTGGTTCAATTCCACTACCATCCAATTTGATGCTTGTCTGGTACAGATGTTTGCTATCCATTCCTTATCTGGCATGGAATCCACGGTGCTGCTGGCTATGGCCTTTGATCGCTATGTGGCTATCTGCCATCCTCTACGTCATGCCACTGTGCTTACATTGCCTCGTGTTGCCAAGATTGGCATGGCTGCTGTGGTCAGGGGTGCTGCACTAATGGCACCCTTACCTGTCTTCATCAAAAGGTTGCCTTTCTGTCGTTCCAATATCCTTTCTCATTCCTACTGCCTACACCAAGATGTCATGAAGCTGGCCTGTGCTGACATCCGTGTTAATGTCATCTATGGTCTCATTGTCATCATCTCTGCCATTGGTTTGGACTCCCTTCTCATCTCCTTCTCGTATTTGCTCATCCTTAAGACTGTGTTGGGCTTGACACGTGAAGCCCAGGCAAAAGCATTTAGCACTTGTGTCTCTCATGTGTGTGCTGTTTTCATATTCTATGTGCCTTTCATTGGATTGTCAATGGTGCACCGTTTTAGCAAGAGGCGTGACTCCCTCCTTCCTGTCATTATGGCTAACATCTATCTGCTCATCCCTCCTGTGCTCAACCCCATCGTCTATGGAGTGAAGACAAAGGAGATCCGGCAGCGCATCCTGCGTCTTTTTCTCACAACCACACACACTTAAGATCACTAGGAATCTGTGATGAAACCTCCCTCCTTTCAACGTCTCTAATTCATACTTTAATATCAGCATCTTGGAAGACAGTATTAAGGAAACAAATCTTTCTTAATTAAAGCACAGCTCAGAGCTTTCAGAGATGAAACTGGCTATGGGACTTCCACGGGAATGGAATAAAACCAGCAATCTCTATTTTCCAAAATCAGATTCCATTTTGTTTATTCTCTGTATGATTATTAAGACCAAGACTTGTGTTTTGAATGTTATTACCTCCCATTTTGTCACTACTTCCAAATCTCAATTCATTTTACTGATGATGGTTCATATCATCCAGAGATGGAGAAACACATCCATTAAATGTTCACCAAAGGCATGAAAAAAGGGGAAAAAAAACCCCTCTGATTTCCTCATCAGAATCCACAAAGACTTTGGATTTCTAAGAAGTTACAGCTGGGTTCTTCTTCAGAACAATTTCTAAAGAAATCATTGTTGTTCTTCTGGGTTCCAGGCCAGAAAAAAACTACATTATGAAATGATACACTTTGTTCTGACAGTTGTCACAGCCATGAAGACATTTTTATCTATTTAAATTTATCAACTTTTTATTTGTGCCCTGATTGCACCAATGGGGAATATGGTAATTCCTGGCAACCAGTAACTTACATAGAAACATGGAAGCTCAAAAATAGGAGGAAAAAAATGAAGTTTTCATGTCCAATCCTATGTTATATAGAAGAATTGTTTGATAGACTTGCAGGATACTGAGTTGGTAATCTCCAGAATCTTACACTGCCTTTGGAGGAGGCATTTGGTCCCTTATTATCACTTACCTAGTGCTGCTTTGAGGAACTTCCTATCAATAGAACCCATGGCTTTAGTCATGCCAGTAGACATTGCTCGCGAGCTATCCCAATCACCACTGTGCCTGTACAATAGAAACAGAACTGTTCCCTAATGGCTTTACTTGAGAAACAGTGTGATTAGCTGCAGATTCCCTGGGTGTCTGAGGGATGCTTTAGAAGAAGCAGTTGAGAATATCCAGCAACTTGTGGTATAAAAAGAGAAGGGATAGTCACCACAAAGTAGAGTCAAGATCAAGAGACATGAGACTGAGTAGAGTCATTAGCCCATGTGGCTGACCAGGAAGTAAGACTGGGGGAAAGATGGATCTATAGAAAACAAGAAGCACATACATAAGCAAACATCACAGACACTCAGGGCTTTTTTTTTTTGAGACAGGGTTTCTCTGTAGCTTTGGAGCCTGTCCTGGAACTTGCTCTATAGACCGGGCTAGCTTTGAACTCACAGAAATTTGCCTGCCTCTGCCTCCTGAGGGCCACCACCACTCAGCATGACACCCATGGCTTTAAGCTGTGTTGCAACAAGGGAAATAAGGACTGCATTCCTGCTAATTGTACATAGTATGGATATAGCCTTGAGGCCTGCCTAGGAATTCTTCAAGAGCAGCTTTAGGAGTTAGCTGGCCACTGTAGGAAAGGAGTTGGAGTAGACTGATCAAGGATTGGGATCGCCACCTACAGAAAAGCCATTTTCAGGTCCTGTGTGTAGTTGGTGAATATGAGAGGCAAGCAGCAAAGTGTGGGAAGGGTAGAATTTCCTGGCCAAGGCTAACAGCACAGAGACCCATTTGCACTTCCAATTTTTTGGACTATACTCCAGAATATAAGAATTGTGTATATGATAAAATTGACTAGGCCAAGGTGGCCAAAGGAAGTAGTACGAAATGTATCCAATGCGAGATTTGGTCACTTTGAACTGAGAGGGGGAGGGTGCATATTCATCCATTGCCCAGTAGTGATCTGACATTGCAGTTGAGAGAAAGGTAATGAAAAGGATTAGAAAGACATGTTTTCCTTATTTGCAAAGTGAAATGTACTAGCTGAGAACAAAAATCACAGACATTCTGAATTTTCTGAAATTAAAACACAATAAAGAATCTGTTACTCAAAAGAATTTAAAAAATATTGGTGTTTATTCTTTCAGGGTTTTAGTGTGTACGTGCATGCATGTTTTGCTTGGATACATGATAAGAGAGAGAGAGAGAGAGAGAGAGAGAGAGATAGAGAGAGAGAGAGAGTGTGTGTGTGTGTGTGTGTGTGTGTGTGTGTGTGTGTGTGTGGCTGGAGGACATTTGTGCATGTATGTGTGTTTTCATTTTGGTGATTTTGTTTGAGAGAGACTCTCACCTAGCCTAGAGTGGCCTCAAACTCACTGTGTAGCTAAGGATGACCTTGGACTGATGACTCGCTTGCATTTACCTTTCAAGTGCTGGAATCACATGTGTATGCCTCCATTCAATCCCATTATATGTCTGCTTTATATTTGCAGTTCCTTTGGAGTCATCCATACATAATGCTTGATGAATGGATTCATCACACTGGTGAATTAATCTTTTTTTCCTTTAAGGACAGAGTTAGTAACTTTCAGAAAAGTTTCCAGCTAACTCCAGTCTGGAACATGTATCCAACACATCTCCTATCTGTAATTCATACTAGAAATGACATCATAAAATTAGCAGGCAAATGGACAAAACTAGAAAACTCATCCTCAGTGAGCTGACCCAGTCCCAGAAAGACAGACATAGTATGTATTCACTTATGAGTGGATATTAACTGTAAAGTAAAAGCCCAGAAAGTCTAAGGAACAAGGAAGGCTTAAGGGGTGGTGGCTCAAGGATATTCCCTGGGAAGGGGAAATTGAATTGAAAGTGTTTCATTTATTCATCAGTCTTTAATTCTCATCATTGCATCTTTACAAAGTAAACAAAAAGCACATTTGTAACAGGAATAAGGCAAGTGGTCTTCTCACAATCTCAACACAATTAGAGATATCCAGTGTTTGCTATGGCTTTCTTTTATTTTATCCAAATTGTGATATATTTTAAGTCTATTAGCCTTGGCCTTTCATATTTAATACTCTGAACATGGCTCCCCTGATGGGCTTGGACTTGACACTGTAGATGATGGGGTTGAGCACAGGAGGTACCACAAGGTACACATATGCAACAAGGGCATGAACAACGTGGGGCAGATGCTTACCAAAACGATGGATCATGGACACACCTATGACTGGAATGTAGAAGACAAGGACAGCCAAGATATGGGAAACACATGTGTTGAGAGTCCGAACACGCTCCCTGGGAGTGGCTAGCCCCATCACTGTGTGAAGAATCAAGGAATAGGACATAACAATAAGCAAGGAGTCTACACCCACTGTGGACAGCACTACATAGAGTCCATATAGGATGTTGACAGTAATGTCAGCACAGGCCAGCTTCATGACATCAGCATGGAAGCAGAATGAGTGAGAAAGGAGGATCTTGCCAGGGCAGTAGTTCAGTCGCTTCAACAAGAAAGGCAATGGTAAGAGGGACAGAGTGGCTCGGGTTGTAATGGCCACACCAATCCTTATGATGACATTATTAGTGAGGACAGATGCATAGCGCAGTGGATTGGAGATAGCCACAAAGCGGTCAAATGACATGGCCAAGAGTACTGAAGACTCTACCACAGAGAAGAAATGCAGAAAGAACATCTGGATCAGACAGGCATGGAAGCCAATGAAACGATAGTCAAACCAGAGCACAGCCAGAGTGGAAGGCAGTGTGGACAAGCTGAGACCCACATCACTTAGGGCCAGCATGGACAGGAAGTAGTACATGGGCTGGTGTAGGCTATGGGTCCTCTTCACAGCCAGGAGGATGAGGCAGTTTCCAGTGAGTGCCACAGTGTACATAGAGGAGAAGGGGATGGAGATCCAGCCATGGATGGCCTCTAGCCCTGGGATGCCAGTCATCAGGAAAGACTGTGGTTGGAAGAAGGATATGTTGAAAAAGGATTGCGAAGAGAGCATGGTTCCAAGGAGATGTGATGTTCTCAATCTGGACAGACACTGAAAATATCTAGAAGAGAGGAAATAGTGAGGTAGTATTGAATCAAAAGTATTAGAATCAAGTTTGTTACTTCACCATTTACTTCTAGGTATAGAGGAATGATATTGATAACATTAATGCAGACTCTCTATATATTGAATTCTACTTTGTATCATAATGTCTTGCCTATACTTTTCCCATATCTTCAAGAAAATCATAGGTACCTTTGAAGATCTGCATTCTTTCAAACATAAGGTTGGGCAGTTGGAGTTATGAATTCTACACAGCTTATTGAAAAGTGTCTCATTCTTAATGCTGACACCCCATCTGAGCTGGTGGACTGAGACTCCAAACACTATGAAACAGTATACTGATCTCCCAAGTATCTACTTTTTGTACAAATATTAGGACATGCTATATCTCCATGTCTAGAAGAGAGCGAGACTTCCTGTTTGGTAAGAGATAAAGAAAATTGCCAGGCTGTGATGGCACACGCCTTTAATCCCAGCATTTGGGAGGCAGAAGCAGAGGTAGAGGCAGGCAGATCTCTGTGAGTTCAAGGCCAGCCTGGTCTAGAGAGTAAGTTCCAGGCCAGGCTCCAAAGCAGTATGGAGAAACCCTGTCTCGAAATAACAACAACAAAAAAAATTCAGGCTGATGGAACAAAAGAAGATTGTTTTTATAGAATTAAAGAAATCCTACAAAGAGTCTGATTTCATGAAAAATTTCTGTGTTTTCCCCACAATTTTGCACTTTTTAAACTGAGTTGTTGTAAAGCTCATCTGTTTATGTACCCATGGCTTTTTTATGACATATTTTTGACATATGAAAAAAATTCCATGATTCATACTTAACATTTTGGGCTGAACTTACTTATACAAATAATCAAGAAACTTTGGAAAAGGTCACATTTCCTCACCCATTGTACAGATGAGAATCCTAAGGGTGGAGAGCTGTAAGTGGCCTACTTCTGATGGGTGGTCCATGTATCATTGGCTTGGAGTTTGAATCCTTGTACATATGATTCCAAAACCAATACTGTCTACTGTGGTCCATCCTGATGACACAAAGTGCTTGAAGAGTGGACTGCAGGAGAAACTGCTACAAACATTGC